CTGCCAGAAGTCATGCATAGCAGAGGAGGAATCTCCTCTATGATCTCCAGAGAGCAGGAACTTGTTGACTCCTTTATTTCACATTCCTAGCCTCCAGTACCATGAAGGACACCTTTTTCTGTTTTAAAGCTACCCAGCTTGTGATGATTTGTTATGGTATCTCTGGAACACTAAGACCCCAGGATTCTCATTATTGGCTGGCATCTAACCTAATGGTTGTTAAATGAACCTCACTGGGGTATCAAAACAGAGTCCTGCGGTACAAGGATACAAGGACACCATGCAGAAGTGCAGCGGGCTGTGGAACCTCACTCCCAACTCCCAGGAAGCCAGACAGGAAGGAACTAGCAAAGACACTCAGACAGCCACAGGAAGGTAGGGTCTCTACACCTTCCCTGGTGTCTGTCCCCACTAGCTGGAATGGGAGCAAGGATCCCGTGTCTGTGGGTGCCACCCTCCTAGGGACACCCAGAGACAGCCGTTGCTTTGTACAGTTCACGCCTGGGGACAGCTTGCCTCCTCCTCGTATACACCCACCTGGGTTGGCGCAAACTCTTTTTGTCTGAAGCTGCAGAGAGTGGTGGAAAGCTACCGAGGATGGACAGAACTTGCAGGCCATCTGCTCCTCTTCTGTGTTGTGTGAATTTATTTTCAAATGTTAAGCATTTGATAGCAGTCGTCAGGCACCATCTCAAAACCTAACCATTTGTCTAAAGACGCTCGCTTCAAAATCGCTCGGCGATCAGCAGCTCCCCAGGGTTTGGAATAGGGGCTGAGTCGTATTTTGAAACAACATCTTCAAATATTATCATATAATTTGATAACCAGAAAAGGAAAATATGATGTCTTGTTTCTATGATACAGACTTCAGGAAGGGAAGCTTGACAAAAATCTTGCCAGACGGGCTATTTGGAAAATGGAGAAACTCCTGAGTCAAGAATGTATGAAGGCTCTGGGGGTGTTGGGGGGAGGCTTACAGGAGTTTCCTGGGCATGCAGAGACTTGTATGTTTATCAGGAAGGGACACACACATGCAGCTGCTAGGTGGCAGAGCTGATATAAGCACTCACGTACATACACACACACACACACACACACACACACACACACACACACACACATATACATGCGTGTATGGTGTATACACATGTGTGGTATGTATCACAGTAAGGACTTGTCACTTTGATTTGACTCTCAGCATGACTGAACAGCAAATATGATCAACATCTCATAATCAGATAGGAAGAAACCTGCTGCAGCATCTTAAGGACAAACAGAACTGACAAATTTCTAGGCATGAACTCTGCCCCCTCTACCCCTTTGTCAGGGGCTGAGTTTGGGAAGCTCTGGTGTAGGAAGAGACTGTCACTCCAAGGAAAGGCTTCTTCTCCAGGTAAGACTATTTGATACATTAGAGAGAGGTCTGGGCATGCTGAAGGGAGTAGGGAGCTTAGGAGGCTGTTACCTAAAATGATCTTAGGTATCCATAATGCATCGCCTTCCCCTTTGGCCAACATGGAATGAGAACTGAAGGCTGATTGCTGAAATATATTTCATTTCATTCATACAACTATAGAACACTTGACCTCGGTAGAGACACTAGAAGGCGTTCCCAGAGTGTTTGAATCCTAGTCCTGCCAGACACCAGATGCATAAGCTTGGGAAAGTCCATAGCTCCCCTCCCTGTCCATTCACCCTGGTAGTAGATCAGCAGTTGCTTCTTTAGGGCTGTTATGGAAGCTGAGTGAAGCTGAATGTTTTGTGTGCTAGAGAGCTATTATTTTAGCTGATCGACCCAGCAGGTAAGACAAATAAATGCACAAAGCACTCTCTTAGAAAGTGAAAGTAATATAACCCAAGCTCTTAACCTGGGAAGTGCTTGTCTCCTTAAAGCATGGTCCCTTCAAGCAGTGATCGCAGAGAGTGGAGCCCAGAGGTGTCACCTTCCCCTTCCTCAAGAGAAGCTGGGAAACCAGATTTGTTTTCACATGGGAAGTTCTGATTTTGAAATCTAGACCATAAATTCTAATTTCTGAAGCTCCAGGCTGCGCAGGTGAAATGTGTCTGTTGGACATATCTGTCAGGTGGGCCACAGGCTTGAAATTTATAGTGACAAGATCAATGATCATCTGTATTTTCAGCTCTTTTAAGGAAAGTCTAAGGGCCCATTGGGGCATTCCATTTGTATAATATATTCATTGGACATCATCATTTATAACCGAATAATTCAGCGTTTGAGACATGCTGGGCTCTATTCTTAGGGCTTTGCCACAGTGGCTTGGTTCATCCTCCCTCCAGCTTGTGAGACAGGCATTGTTCCGTTTGCCATTTCGCAGCTGAGGAAGCTGAAGCCCAGAGAGGTTAAGTAACTTCTTCGAGATACAACAGCAGATGGAGAAGTCAGACTTTGAAGGCAAGCTGCCTGTAAAAGGTATTAATCAATTTTCAACACACAGAGTGTTGGCAGGGCCAGAGCTGTCACCAGGATGCGTATGCACAAAGCTGTGTGTTGCTGATGGAGGCTGAGGTTGGCAGGACCGTGGCAGAGCCCGCCCGTGTTACAAAAACTCAGTATAAACTGTAAGCACACACCGGTCAGTGCTGCTACTGAATGGGAATGACTCCATGTTCTGTGAAACTTAGAAACAGTGGCTGACACTCGGCGCCATTTGCTATTTGAAAATTTTGATCACATTTCTATTTATTTATTGTGTGTATGTGTGGGCATGCATGTGCCAGGGTACAGGTGGGGAAGTCAAAAGAAAACCTGCAGGAGTTCACTTTCTCCTTCCACCATGTGGGTCCCAGGAATAAAACTCTGGGTCTCAGGGGAGATGGCAGGAACCTTTACCTGCTGATCTATCTTGCTGGCCTCAGTCATGCACTCTTTTAAACACAATATAAACACTAATTTAATGTCTGTAAGACAGATACTGTTTCTGTCATCCTCCTTTGACATGGAAATGGAGTCCCAGAGCAGCAGAGCCATTTGTCCAAGTTTGCACAGCTACTAAGAGGTCAGGGTCTCATTCTAAACAGATTTCCCAAGTCTACACTTGGTCCATACATCAACTCAGAGCATTGGTTACCTAGGGCACGCACACTGTAACAACACCCGTGAGCAGGAGCTCAGACTGCAAAGCGGGAGGCTAGAGGTGGATGCTATTATGCAATCCACTTTACAGATCTGAACAGTGCATCTATAAGGTGCTGTCACTGGACTACAAGGCCATCCAGCTGGTGGTAGCTAAGCCAAGGTGTGACTGCAGTACTGTTAGATCCTAAAGCTGATGTGCTTCTGGTTCCTGTGAACATGTTCTAGGGCAGCGGACCTGACAGCATGGGACTGTCATTCCTGCTATGGAGAGACTGAGGCGGGAGGATCCCGCAAGCTCAAGGTCAGCCTTGAGTTTAAGGTCAGCCTACGCAACTTCTTGAGCCCTGCATCAAAATAAAAAGTCAAGCAAAGGTTGGGGATGTAGCTCCATGATAAACACTTTGTCAACACATGTGAGAACCTATGGTCCGTCCCCAGTATTGGGGGAATAAATTAAGTTCTGGGGCTTATGCCTACCAGACTTTCAGGATAACTTCTGCTAAGGGAGGAAGAAAGGAATGTGATCAGAGATTAACAGTGACTGAGACACCGAGTCAACTTTCAGAAAGTGACCAAACAAATTCCACGACCAGGAAGTGCCTGAGGGGTCATCTCCCCAGGGGTGTCTCTCTGACACCCACAGTCTCCAGCCCCCAAACTCCTCGAGATGCGAGCATGCTATACCTCTCCCATCACAGGCTAAAGGTTTGCTGCTCAACTTTTGACCCTCTTGGAGCTCAGCACCTGCCTTGACATTAAACTCTAACGATCAATTTTCTGTGTGATGGGCGTTTCCCTTCTGGGAGGGGCGCATCATCATTTGTCTGTGAGTCCATCCATTCCCCATTCTAGTCACTATGGTTAGGACAGGACTAACCACTGAAGGCTTCAAGAGTGAAGCTGTTAACCTAAGCCACCTTCTGGCCTCGGTGACTATTGTGAGATAATCATATAACTCAATCCTTTCCCGAGTCATCAGGCCCAGGGCACTAAAGAATACAATGTAAAATACATTGGAGGGGCTGACGGCCCAGTGAGTAAAGTGTTTGGCCAAACACAAGGACCTGAGTTCAGATTAGCAGCACTCAAGTAAAAAGATGGACTGTGCATGTCTGTAACTCCAGCACTCCAGGAGGCGGGGACCCCAGAGACAGGTAGATCCCAGTAGATCCCGGTAGCTGGCTGGCCAGTCAATCTAATTGAAATGGAACAACAAGCTCCAGGTTCAGTGAGAGATCCTGCCTCAAAATACAAAAATGAAAAAGTGATTGAAGGAAGATACCCAGTGTCAGCAGCTGCCTTCCAGATGTGTCTGCCTGGGCACACACATATGCACATAAATATACATAAATGCACACATCATATACACAGCACACACATGTATGTGTGTGTTTCAAAAGAAAGAAATTTAGGTATCGGAAAAGAAAACTCTCTCCTTCCTTCCTGACTGGAGATACTGAAACCACCCTGCCAGCACAAGGGTAGAACGGGCCGGAAAATGGCACGAACTTGAGGAAAATGGAGCTGAGAGATGGAGTCAGCGTCCTGGATCCAAGCATACCTGCATCTTCAGCTATTTGAACCGATTACTCGGTGCCCCACCCCTTGAATTAAACCCATCCGAAGAAGAGCATTTTCTGTTGTTTTGCAACTGAACAAGCACCTAGCCGACCCCAGGCATCCACAAAGCAGCTCCGCGTTTGCAAGCCCTGGCGATATGGGTAAAGCCAGTCAGCTCCCGCTCCCCATTACCCCTCCCATGAGCTTCTCTGTGGAGTGGAGAACTCGCCCTTGGGTTTCCTAGAGGACAGTGAGGGGATAGCGGATCAATCCTGCACTCTAAGTTTATCTGCATTGTGAGAACAAGGAAGGGGGCCCAAAGCAAGGAGGATGTGGATCCAACCTGAGTGTCTGCTGAAGCCAGGAAACCCTGTGATGTGGATGATGAAAGCAGCCCGGACAGAGAGCAGCAGGGAGTCCTGGGGGCTGCTGGAGACTCGGTGTCCAATCCAAACTTCCAAGTTCTCTGTGAGTACGAACAAAATACACATGAACTGTTCACAGGAATTAGCGTTCTAGGGAAAGGAAGAAGCCACAGGGTACCTTCCTTCCATCCATCTCATCCGGGCATCCGCCCCCTCCAGAGCCGGAGAACTGGAGGGCCTTTGAGTCCATGGCTCTCGTTGAATCTCAAACCGAACATGACCACTCTTTATTTTTAATCCTCCCTTCCCCTCGTCTATGCCTTCAAGCAGCTTTTCTGGGGAGAGAGTGTTTGCGCCCACACTGGCAGATCTGAGTCTCTGGCCACGCGCCGGCTGCAATGGGGCTGTTGCCATGCCCACCCAGCCCAGCAGCCTGGAAGGCAGCCTTTAGAGGGGCTCTGTGGAAAGCTATCTGCACTCTGGGCAGCTTGGAAGGCAAGCGCCACAGGTGGCTCCAAGGAGGGCAAGGTGCTCTCAGTGGGCACTCATTCTTTCCAGCTGGCATGCCTCTGTCGTGGCTGAGAGACTGCATCAGTAAAGGGCCCGAGGGAGGAGTCGGGCTCCCCACACTCATCACTGCCCATCCTCCCCACATGCTGACACTTCTCGTAGGATATCCACTTCCCAAAGAAGAAAAGGTTGTGAGGTCGAAACTCATCTAGAGTCACAATGACTGCTAAATGTTTTATAGCTGCGGCAAAAATAATCTCACATAAGCAGTTTAAAGGAATGAAGACGTACCTTGGCTCCCAGCTTCAGAGAGTTCAGTCCAGAGTGACTTGGCTCCAGGCATTTAGGAAGACCATTATGGTGGTGGACACGTGTAGCAGAGGATGTGTCTCACTTCATGGTGAGAAAGACAGAATGTTTTCTACCTTGTGGAGAGAGAGAGAGAGAGAGAGAGAGAGAGAGAGAGAGAGAGAGAGAGAGAGAGAGAGACTCTGGGCAAAATCCTGGTCTCCCAGAACAAGTTCCCAGTGACCAGCTTTCCCCAAATAGACATTGTTTCCAGAACCTTCCAAACCAGCATCAATTGGGCACCAATCTTTTAATACATGGCCCTTTTTAGGGAGCATTTATTATTTAAATTATAACATAAGACTGATAAATGGCAGAGCCAGTAGTGAGCCTAGCTGATTTTGAGTCCATTTAATCACACACTGCAATGCTTATCAGGATACAGAACACACTGATGAGCTAGCATAAATGTTCTGAGCCACTCTTGTTAAGAGGTAGAGACTTGGACTGGGGATGTGGCTCAGTTAATAGAATGTTTTCCTGCATACATGAAAGCCCTGGATTCAGTTCCCAGCACTGCATAAAACCAGGCGTAGCACTGCACACCTAGAATCTCAGGACTAGGGAGGTGGAAGCAGGGGAATCAATAGTTCGAGGTCATCCTTAACTACAGAGTGAATTCAAGGCTAGACTGGACTACACAAGATCCTGTCTCAAATAAAGTGTATAAAGCTTAACTTCCTTTCTCCCTGAACATGGGCTGGATTGTAACATACTGTGACAGAAGAAACGACTTGTGAGTTCAAGCATAGATGCAGAAAATCTATAGAATTTACACCTGGCTCCATGCTGAGTCTTGGTTCAGCAGCTAGCAAGCCGTGAGATGGGCATGGGCTGGTGCTTCCTGCAGCAATCACTATGAAGATCCCAACCCCAGCCAGCATCAGCCACAAGACATAGGAGTGGAGAACACTTTGAGATGACTTGCCCCTGATACCATCGAAAATGGGGATAGAACTCAGAGCAAGAACCATAGTTCATCCCAGTCAGTTCCTAGAACCATGAGAAATGATAATCCATGACTGACTTCAGGAGCCATTAGTGTGAATTAGTTCCTGTAACAAATGGCCAGTCCATGTACTCTAACACACACAAACACACACACACACACACACACACACACACACACACACACACACATACACACCTTAACTGAATTAAAAATGAGCTGCGCCGGGCGGTGGTGGCGCACGCCTTTAATCCCAGCACTCGGGAGGCAGAGGCAGGCGGATCTCTGTGAGTTCGAGGCCAGCCTGGGCTACCAAGTGAGTTCCAGGAAAGGCGCAAAGCTACACAGAGAAACTCTGTCTCGAAAAACCAAAAAAAAAAAAAAAAAAAAAAAAAAAAAAAAAAAAAAATGAGCTGCTTGGCTTGTGTGAGTTGACTAAAAACTGAATAGGCTCTTGCTACAAAGCCTTGCCCTTCATCTCCCTGTTTTTCTGACAGGCCTTTTGTAGAAGGATCACAATGGTGCTGACTCACGATGACTAGCCAGGGCAGACTTTTCACTGATCCGCTAACATGCATTTATGGGGTGCCTCTGATGTGCTGCTCACTGTGTCAGGCTCTAAAAAAAGACATGAGGGGTTTGCATCTATATTTCAGTGTGACTGACAAGGAAGTATATAGATGCTTTTGTGGGGACTGACAGATGGCTCAGCAGTTAACAGCATGCACTACTCTTTCAGAGGACCTGAGTTCAGTTCCCAGCACCCACATCAAGCAGTTCACAACTGTCTGTAACTCCAGCTTGAAGGGATCTGACCCCTCTGGCCTCCATAGACACCTATACTCATGTGTACATATATATATATATATGTGTGTGTGTGTGTGTGTGTGTATGTGTGTATGTATATATATATTCACATAATTTAAAGTAAGATAAGTATTGAATAAGTAAATGAATGTCTCCATGTACTCTATATTCTATAGTTAAACACCATAGGATGAGTGGCTTAAACAAAATAAATTTATTTCCTCCTAGTTCTGGAGGCTGAAGATCAGCATATCAACTAACCTGATTCCCCAGGGAGAGCCTTCCACCTAGCATGTAGACACCCACCTTCCCACCATACCTTTACATGACCGAAAGAAAGAAAGAAAGAAAGAAAGAAAGAAAGAAAGAAAGAAAGAAACTGCCTATCTCTCTTCTTTTTTCATCTTCTTCCAAAGCCATTGAGCCAAGTGTTAGGACCCCTGCTAAGCATAATTACCTCCCCTCAAAAGGCCTCACCCCCAGCCACCTGATTACACTGGGGATCAGATCTCGTACACATAAGCACATAAACACAGCCTATAGCAGTAAACATTACTGATTGTGATCATCATAGTGCTTAAACCAATGCAACAGCCATGGTATTTAAGGAACTTCTTTTCAATCTGGTGGCTGGCTAGGACTCCTAAAGAAACAGACTTCAAAGGACATGGTTTGAGCTGTGTGCCACGTAATCCCAGAGAAGAATGCTTCTTGGGGCAGAAGCCTTGAGAAGAAACTGAGTTATAGAAAGGGGCTGGGTACTTAAGACAAGGGAAGAAGCCTAGGCTGACCCAGATGTGGACACAATACAGACACAGTCTGAGATGGGGTAAAAAAGATGAGCTGTGGACAGACTGTGCAAAGCCTTGCTGTAGCAACAAATATAAGAGCTGAACAGTTCAAAATGAGGAAAGGCTCACTTGGCTCATGGCTTTGAGCTTTTAGTCCATGGTCAGTGGTTCTATCACTTTGGGGCCCATGACAAGGCAAGAACATCACGGTAAGAGCATGTGAAAAAAAAAGCTCACCTTGTGGTGGCCAGAACGGGGAGGGGGGGCAATATCTGATTGTCCCTTATATCCCCTTCAAGGGCCATACCTCGTAAAGACTCCACTACCTCCCAGCCCTGGTGAACAAACTTTCAACACATTGGCCCTATGTAGAGCAATGAAGATTGAAACTATGGCACCGGCCAAGTGAAGAATGTAATCTAGTCAACAATGAGAAGCAGGGAAGCTGGTGATGCAGTTAAGTTGGTAGAGTGCCTGCTTGGCATCTCTGGAGTCCTGGGCCCCCTCCTCAACCCTGCAGCATAAAACAGGTATGGTAGCTCATACATGTAACCCCTGCACTTGGGAGGCAGAGTCAAAAAGATTGGGAGTTACAGTCATTTTATATAGTAAGTTTGAGGCCAGACTTGACTACAGGAGAGCCTTACCTCAAAAAGAAAAAGTCAGAGGGCTAGTGAGATGACTCCAAGGAAAAGAAGCTTGCCATGCAAGCCTGGGGACCTAAGTTTGGTCCCCAGAACCCCAGGTAAAGACTGAAGGAGAAGACCAACTCCACAAAGTGGTCCTCTGACCCTCCACATGTGTGACATGGTACACCCCCCCCCACACACACACACGTGTGCGCGTGCTTGCATAAAAATGAGAACTTTGAGTGATTTTTTTTTTTAAAAAATCAAGTAATCTTGTGGCCTGATCATTTCTGACAGTTCTGTGTAGACTGGGATCCGCACAGCATTGTGATGGGCCACAGAACTGACTTGAGTTTACTCCTGAACTCAGTTGAGCACGTGACCTTCCAGATGTGTAATTGGAGCTGCTGTGCCTGATCAGAGCAGTGTCTGCCCAGGAGTGATCGTCTTCCTACTCCACCAGCACACAGTGAATGTTAGTGTGTGAACCAGAGCCAGAATGACAATGTTCTGGATTGTTGAGGAGAGTGGGCAGAACTGTGGGAAGGAGAGGGCAGCCATCATGTTCTCCATTCACAAGAGAAGGGAGGAAATGAGATGTCTTGAGCATACAGCCCAAGCAAAGTGCAGTGAACAGCTCAGCTGGCAAGCCAGAAAATCTTAATGAAGTTGATTTTTTTCTAGAAAATAATGACTTGCATTTATTCAAGGCATGATCTAATCTTAAATAAAGGAGCACTGTGATTCAGAGGGCAGGCTGTACAACTGGATGGGCGTGGATTCAATTCCAGCCACCGCCCCTTACACTTCTACCAGTGTGAAGTTCGGTGACACTTGGTTTCTATCCTTCTAAAACGATCAAAAAGCCCTGTCTGGCTACAGATGCAAAGAGAAGTGTGCAGAATGGACATGAAAGGATAGTAAAAGGCCAGCGAGTGAATTTGAAATGAAATCAGATCACAATTGGAGAGTGAGCATCTAATAGTGTCATTTCTTTCTAAATAATTACATGGGTTTGATACAATTCTAACAAATATCCACCATACAAGTGCTTTTATTTCGTTGTGTTTGTCTTTGCTTTGGTGAGAAGGGGAAGAGGTTGACAAAGTGACTTTCCAATTCAACTAGAAGAATGAATGGGTAACAGAGCCAAGAGCAATCGAAACTGGAAAAATAATTAAGAGTGCATTGAATATAGATGTTAAAATGGGCTATAATGTTCCAAAGATTAAAATAGCACAGAACATAAATGCTACAATATAGATTAAGGTGATTTATGTCACCAAAATCATAACATAGTCAATGTAATAGGACAGAAAGCTTCAAGACAATCTTTCAGGTACCTGGCTTTATTTGATAATAAAAGTGACAAGTCTATGGAGAAAGAAGAAATACTCAATAAATGACCCCGAGATGATTGATTAATATTTGCGGGAATAAATAAAACAAAATTAAATCCTCATCTCATGTTGTACGTCAATGTCGATCCCGGATTGATTAAAGAGTATAAAGTAATTTAAAAGTTAATTAAAAGTAATAAACAATCTTGACAAAGTTTTGGCAACTTATCACTTCATTACTGAAGTCTAACATCCCACTCCTAAGTCCTGTGATTCTAATATACATTCACGGACAAGGGAGATGGCTCAGTGGTAAACCACTTGCAGCACCAACGTGAGGACCCAAGTTCAAATCCCCACAATCCATGAAAATTCAGATGGATATGGAGGCCACCTGTAATTCCAACCTGGGAACTAGTCATGTTGATGAGCTCGGGGTTTGATCGAGGGGCCTTGCCTTAATGAATAAGGTGGAAAACTAAGCTGATTCTCAACATCAACATGAGGCCTCCACCACATATACGCACGCATGCGCGCACAAACACACTCACATACATACAG